GGAGGAGGAGGAGGAGCAGCAGCCGGGAGGAGGAGGGGAAAGAGGAGGATGAGGAGGAGGAGGAGGAGGAGGAGCAGCAGCAGCAGCAGCAGCCGGGAGGAGGAGGGGAAAGAGGAGGATGAGGAGGAGGAGGAGGAGGAGGAGGAGAAGGAGGGGGAGGGAGGAGGAGGAGGAGGAGGACGAGGAGGAGGAGGAGGAGGAGGAGGGGGAGGAGGAGGAGGAGGAGGAGGAGGTAGGAGGAGGAGGAGGAGGAGGAAGAGGACCAGGAGGAAAACGAGGACGAGGAGGAGGAGGAGGAGGAAGCATGCGCAGGGGAAGGAGGAGGGGGGTTTGGGGGGGAGGACGGAGGAGGAGGAAGGCGGCGGGGAAGGAGGGGGGGAACGACGCGGGGGAGGACGAGGAGGAGGAGGAAGAGGAGGAAGAGGAGGAGAAAAAGGAGGAGGAGAAGGAGGAGGGTAAATCGCAGGAGGGGGACAAGGAGAGAGAGAAGGAACTGGAGGGACGAGGGGGGGAGGGGGGAGGGCAAGACCTGCGGCGCCGGCACGTCGCAGTAGGGTGCGATGCGGCGGCGCTCACCGCGCTGGGGTCGAGTACAAACACCGAAATGCCGCACCCTCCGTCGGAGGAGAAACATACCAATCCCCCGTTGCCACGGCTGGGTTCGCCGCGACATCCCGGTTAGAGCGTACACCGGGAGAGATTTTGGGAGTAGCAGTATCGTTGTACATTTGCCCCCATTCTGGCCCCTCTCGATTGGAACATGCTCTTCTGGGCTCTTCTGGTCGTCGTTGGCGTCGTTTCCCGCCTCGCGCGGGCGCGATGCGCGCTTCGGCCGGGGAACTGCCAAAAGCGTTGGGCACTGGCAGGCAAGTAACGGCGCAGTGCACATGTGCGTGTGCGCGCGAGCCTTTGCCGTGGAGGAGGAGGAGGAGGAGGAGGAGGAGGAGGAGGAGAACGAGGACGAGGACGAGGACGAGGACGAGGACGAGGAGGAGGAGGAGGAGGAGGAGGAGGAGGAGGGGGAGGAGGGGGGGAGGAGGAGGAGGAGGAGGAGGCGGAGGAGGAGGAGGAGGACGACGAGGAGGAGGAGGAGGAGGAGGAGGAGGAGGAGGAAGAGGAGGATGAGGAGGAGGAGGAGGAGGAGGAGGAGGAGGAGGGGGAGGGGGAGGGGGAGGGGAGGAGGAGGAGGAGGAGGAGGAGGAGGAGGAGGAGGGATGAGGAGGAGGAGGAGGAGGAGGAGGCGGAGGAGGAGGAGGAGGAATTGGGAGCAGGAGGAGGAGGAGGAGGAGGAGGAGGAGGACGAGGAGGAGGAGGAGGAGGAGCGAGCGAGCGAGCAAAAGCCAAGGGGCAGTTGGATAGAGCAGAGGGAGGGCAGTCACACCCCTCGACCCCCCCCCCCCCTAGCGCCTGCACGATGGAGCCCGAAGGCAAGGACCATCTTGCAGGCACCAGGGCGGGGAGCGCGGGGCATGCCTACCCCAGCAAGCGGCCGCGTGGGCGGCCAGGGAGCACGGGGCCTGCGGCAGGCCCGTGCTCACCTGCACGAGGCCCGCCACGGCGGGGAAGAGCTCCCACAGGGCTCCCAGCGACACGAGCGGGGAGCCCAAGTCCACGTGGTGCAGCACGTGGCCCACGCCACAGGGGAGCACGTGGAAACCGAGCGTGTCGCAGAAATGCCACTCCGCGCACGAGCCGCACGGCAAACCGCGACGAGTTCGCTCTGTGCCTGGGCCTGGCCAAACCGAGACTCGCCCTGGCTGGGAAAACGAGAACGAGTTGGTGGGTCCTGCGAGGGTCAAACACCGCATCCAGACCACAAACCATCCAGCCACACGCCCTAGCGGGGCACTCACCCGCAGTGGGCTGGCACTCACCATCCTGATTATTGTCGGCCTCCTCGCCGACCCGTCATACCATGTCGGGGTCCACCTCGTCATCGTTATCCGACTCGTGTGGAGCACCCAACTCCAATGCTTCAGGGTATAATAGACCATGGAATTTTCAAATCCAAGCTAGTATCCAGGTAACGCTGGGGTTCAGTTCGGACTTTACCTTTTGGCCTGAAGTCGATATCAGGCAGGTCTCCCAGCGGATCCCTCCAGCCTTTTGACTTGCACATCAGGGCTCGAACTCTGCCAGAAGGTCTTCGAGCGTCCTCAAGCGAAATAGGAGGAGGAGGAAGAGGGGGAGGACGGTGAGAAGGGGAAGGCCACGGGAGGCGAGCGGGAGGAGGAGGCGGAGGAGGAGGAGGACCAGGAGGAGGAGGAGGAGGAGGAGGACCAGCGTAAACCCAAGACGCGTCAGCGATGCTGCAACGAACCTTCGCTCCACGTGCACGGCGAGGCGCCCCTCCCCCCCTGCAGCCTGCACTGGCCCTCGTGCCCCTTGCTTCCGAGGCTGCCGGGGCACGGGAGGGGCGGCCCGCTGCGAGGGAGCGAGCGCCGCCAATCGGCCACGCGCAGCGAGGGGTGCAGTCAAGACGCCGAAGCACGGTCCCGCTTATTGCGCCGCCAGAATTTGACCATATCTACTGCTGCTGGGTCGTGTTGCGAGGACTCGGGGAGCGGCGGATATGGATATCTGCCCGCTCACGCGGGCGGGCGGATATCCACATCCACTGCTCCTCGAGATTCCAGGGCACGACTCCGAAGCGGTGGATGTGGACATACTCTGGCGGTGGACTTATGATTGAGAAACCACCCCCCGAAAAGCTGGCCCAGCGTTCCTTAACCAGTTTGCCGGAAAGCTGGCTCGGTTTCTTCAGGGGGTCGGCAGCCTCGGATCCTGGCAATGCGTAGTGTACGCTCCTGGCTCCAAGAGCTGGCCCAGCGCTTCCTTGAGAAACTTCATAAAAGCTGGCCCAGCTTTCTGAATTGATGATTTGCTTAATCATAGTTTGACTGTAAGGAACAGTTTGGTTTCGGAAGGGGTTCGATGTTCCTTTGATCCTTCCATGGCTGTTTCTCCAGCGGTCCTCGTGCGCGCAGGTGCTCACGGGGCCAAGAAGGCGCTTCGTTCCTCCTTTAGCGTTCCTTGTGTCAGCGGCCTGACTGCAGGGGGAAGGGGGACAGGCTTCCTAGAAGCACCCCTGCGTCTTAGAAGGCGCGGGCCTTCTCTGTAGATGTAAGTCTCTCGTCTTCTTGGAGCCAGCCTCCATGTAAGAAGCCTTCCCCCCTCCCCCTGCCCCCTTTTGTGCGCGCCGCCAATATTGGGTTGTTTGCGGGGCGAAAGTCCTGGAAGCCTCGCGCGGCGCGCAAATAGACGTTTTCTCTGCTCCACACGTCCGCCCTGCCGGATGAGGCACGACGTTCGCGCGGCGATATTCCGACGTGGATTTGACGTGAAGCAGATGTAAATCCGATGGTGTTGCCGCGCAAGCCCTCTAGGATGTTCTTTACAGTGGGGGCCCATGCCTCCAGGGTGCCCTGGGTTTCTTGGGCTTCGACTGCTTCGCTATGAGAAGCGTGACATGCCCACGCCAAAGATCGATGGATGTCCTGGGGTCTCAGGGCTGGGTTTCTTGTGGAAGGCAAGGCTTCTTGTGGACTGGCCTCCACTGTACAAGGCCCTGGATGGGGCTCTGGTTCTCGGGGTCCGTTCCTCACGCTGCGGTCGTGGAACCTGTCCATGTGCCGCGGCTCGCCGTGGCCATCTTAAAAAACAGGACGCTCGTGCCCGATTCGGCGACCTTGAAGTCGGGCATGTCCCTCTACAGGAGGAACATTCAAAAATAGTCAAAAATAGTCAGGGGACGATGTTTTGAGCATGTTTGACAATTTTGGTGTTTTTTGTTTTTCGTCCAAGATCCCCCTGTAGAGGGACAGGCCCGACCTAAGGCTACCTCCCACGATGATTGTACGCACGCAGGTTTGCGGCCTCGAGCGCGCATGGCGGTCCGATTGCACGGGGCTCCCCTCCATGCCAGTCGCGCACTGGACGGGGCGAGTGGAGTCAGAACGACAGCACGCTGCGTGCTGCACGACGTGTCGCCGGCGGCTGCCGGTGGCATTGCGAGAGACGGCGATCACTGCGTCGAGGCATCGGATGTCGGGCCGTTCGATGCGAGATTGTTTGGGCCAACATGCCAGCGGGGATCCAGCCGGGGGCCCATGCAGGCTACACCTGGCGGCCAGCACTGCAGGAGCGGCCTGGGGCAGATCGTGTGTGGGGGGGGGGCGACGAGTGGAGAGGCAACTTTCAGAAGGGGAAAAATCAAACAGACACAATAAATCATCGATTCCCCAGAAAGTATTGGAAAGTACGGGAAGTGGGGGGGAAGACGAAAATAAAAAAAATGAAAAAATATTCGGAATCCTGTTAGTTGTGTGCATCTGTTTGTGTGTCCCAGGGCCCCTTCAAACATGTGGCCACGAGGGCGCCAGGCACATGTTTGATTCTTCCGGGGTCAGGTCGGGCATGTCCCCCTACAGGAGGACAAATCAAGACTGGTCAAAACAAACAGTGTGGGGACGAATGTTCTAGCTTTTACTCGACAAGCTTTGAATCTTGCGAAGGCCTTACGGCCGGTGCCGCCGACCCTGAGGTTGGGGAAGAGGGCGCGGAGCATGGGGAGGAAAATGACGAGGGGGACAGGAGGAAAAGGTGGATAACGAGGAGGAGGAAGATGATGAGGGGACGAATTTTCTAGATCGTTTTATTATGTTTGAATATTTGTTGGGGGTATGTTTAACCTTTCATCCCAAATCCGCCTGTAGGAGGACATGCCCGACCCAATTCCGGGGAAGGGGGCCTCTGGCTTTTCTCATTAAATCTTCGAGCGGCCTCTGGAGGTCCCTGGTGGGGTCTGTCTGCTCCAGAGGCCCCAAAAAGTGGCCCCACCCCTAAAAAAGACTACCCATAACATTGAATCTCGAACCCCTACCCTCGATCCTCCAACCTCGATCATCGACGACGACGACGACGACGACGACGACGACGACGACGGTGGCTACGACGACGACTTCGACGGCAGCGGCGGCGACGGCGCTGATCGCTGCCAGAAAACCGACGCCGGCACGGGCTGCACCTTCTGGAATGGCCGCAACGACGCCAAGTTGTGCCAGGAGTTCCCCGCCCCTTCTCCTGCGTTGGCCCAGGATGATGATGATGTTGATGATGATGATGATGATGCCGCTGATGCTGCTGCTGATGATGATGATGCTGGTGGTGGTGATAATGCTGATGATGATTATGATGAAGGTGCTGCTGGTGATAATGAGTTTAATGATGATGCTAATGATGCTGATGATGATGCTGATGATGCTGATGGTGATGATGCTGGTAATGCTGATGTTGCGGTTGTTGATGATTATGATTATGGTGAGGATGATGATGATGATGATGGTGATGGTGATGGTGATGGTGATGGTGATGATGGTGATGCTGATGCTGATGCTGATGATGGTGATGATGCTGATGATGCTGATGTTGTTGTTAATGATGATGATGATGATGAGGAGGAGGAGGATGACGATGATGATGATGATGATGGTGGTGATGGTATGGTGATGGTGATGATGATGAAGATGACGATGAAGATGATGAAGATGATGATGATCGTGAACATGGTCATGATCATGATGATGATACTGCGTGGGCCCAGGAGGGGGCTGGTGGGCCGAGGCACTGCGGCGGTCAGCGTGCCAGTTCGGTGATGCGAGCGCCGATCCCCAAGAGCCGCGGGGGCGCAGTCCGCTGCCCGGCCGCCCCCCCCCCCCCCCTTCCGAAGGCAGAGGGGGGAGCACCCGGGCGCGAGCTCCAGGCCGGTCCAGGCACACAGGGGTGGGCGGGACGGCAGAAGCCCCCGGAGTCAAGCAGTGGCGAAGCGCCCTGGCTCCCGAAGTAGCCCTACCAGACAATGTTCTCAGAACCTTTTGTGGTTTTCACGAAGTGTTCTGAGAACATTTCTGGCGGAGTCTGTCTTGTTTTATTACATCGGGTTGATGTTCTAAGAACATTGTTTTTGTTATTAGAACATTTTTGAGTTCTAAGAACATTTCGTGGTAGGACTATGGGAATGCCGGGACGGTCGGTCGCTGCTCAACGGAGAGCCCCTCCAGGGGAGGTGCAGACAGGACATCGGAAAACAGGAGCTACGGAGGTCGAGCACGTGCGGGTGGAAATCTAACAGAGAGTGCAACGGTTTCGTTCTGGGCGATAGTTGCGCGTTTCGTTCGCGCATCCAGTTGTTAACCATCCGCGCACCCGTCACCGCAGCCAAGCAGTCTCTGGGAGTTCCACGTTGAAGCTGACCATGCAAAGGAGGGGGAGGGAGGGAGGCGGGGAGGAAGGTGGGGGATCGAGGGCGGAGGCTTTCAATTCAGGGGGGCCCTGTCATGGGCAGCCGCCAGCTTCCCGAGGGAGGGAGGGAAATGGGGGGGGGAGGCACAGGCGGAGGCAGGCGGGGTGGGTGGGGAGAGGCAGGGTTGCGAGAGCGGGATGGAGGAGGGAGGCACGTGGGGGAGGGGATGGGAGAAGGAGGAAGCAGGAGGATGCAGGGAGGAGTGGTGAAGAAGCGAGGAGGAAGCATGGTGAAGGATGGAGAGGGACTGCGAAAGGGAGGAAGGAAGGCGGGAAAGAGAAAGAGGAGGAGGAGGAGGAGGAGGAGGAGGAGGAGGAGGAGGAGGAGGAGGAGCAGTAGCAGCTTGAGCAGGAGGAGGAGGAGGGAGAGGTGGAGGAGGGAGGAGTGAGGAGAGAGGAGCGAGTGGGGTGGAGGGAGGAGGGTGGGGTCGAGGGGGGACGGGGGACGGGGGAACGGAGGAAGAAGAGGGACGAGGCTTGGCGTTGCCAGCCGCGAGGCCTGACGCGTGGGCTCCTGGTTGCCGCTCTGTCTGGCCCAGAGAGGGGGAGCTGCAGCATGGCCGCGGTATCACGAGGGCGAGACACACCGAGAAGCAGGCGGAACACTAACCGAGAGTCAGGGAGAAAAAAAAAGAAGGAGAAAAAGGAGGAGGAGGAGAAGGAGGGGAAGGAGGAGGAGGAGAAGGAGGAGAAGGAGGAGAAGGAGGAGAAGGAGGAGAAGGAGGAGAAGGAGGAGGATCGGGGCAGGCGCAGTGGAGGCCATCAGGGAGAGACGACGGCGCTCGCGGCACGCCGTGCACGGAGAGGCCAGACCGTGCCAGGTGGCGGCGGGCGCTTGATGGGCGGAAGGCAGCCGGGAACGGATGACAGATTCGGGACTGGACCTAAACTCGGGAAGGCCGAAAGGGGGGGTTTGGGAAAGGGTGGGTTGCGAAATCTGCTGCATGCAGCTGGTTTCGGTCCGACCGAGGGGCCCATTCCTCGATACATGGCCGCCTCCGGCGCCGGGAGGCGCCAGGAAAATCAGCTACGCGAGCTGATTCTCAAACCCCCCCTTTGCCCTCCCCCCCTTTCGCCCTACCCGATAAACGCTGTTTTGCTGGACGTCGGCTGTGTTTGGTTGTGCGTTTGGGGAGGGAGGTACAGAAAAAGCAGGCAGTGCAAAACGAAAAGCAAACCGAACACGAAACGAAAAAAACAACAACTAGGTCCAGCCCCGGATAGATTGGCTTGAAGGCGCCTAGAAATATATGATGGCCCGGGACCAAGCCACAGAAGAGAAACGCGTGTGGAGTGAAGTCAATGCTGCCATCCGAACAACTAAGCGAAGGCAGCAGAGCAAAGGTGAGGGCGACCAGCCGAAGAACAAACACTTGAGGCCGAGAGTGCGTGACGCCAACCTTGGCGTAAGTCGGGCCTGTCCGTCTACAGGATGAATATGGAAACATAGTCAATGTTCAGTCAATGAATAGTCAACATGGTGGGAGCATTTCTTTAGTATTTCCCCACATCTAAAGTGGGGTTCTTGTTTTCTCTGCACACGCCGCGCAGGATCTCACACACCCCCTTTCCTCCCTCTCTCTCTCTCTCTCTCTCTCTCTCACTCACCATCATCGCCATCATCATCACCATCAACCACCATCACCGTCATCACACGCACACCCTCATCATCATTACCATCATCATCACCATCAACCACCATCACCGTCATCGCTAGTCACCATCATCATCCTCATCATCATCGTCACCATCATCACCACTCGATCACCCACTCACTCACTCAATTACTCACTCATCCTCACTAGGCTTCGGAGGCAGTGGTCCTCCGACGGTAGGACCGCCGCCACTTTCAACATCATCGTCACCATCTCCATCATAATCTCTAGATCACCCACTCAGTGGCCATCATCATCATCCCCATCATCATCATCACTTCTCATCCTCATCATCATCATCATGATCGTCACTCATTCATCACACACTCATCATCATCATTCGTTCACTCATCATTTCGTCATCAGGCGGGAGCCTCTGAGTGAATTGCGAGGAAGTCTCAGGCGGGAGCCCCCTCCCTATGGGGCCCGCAGATCATTACTAATCCGAGCGGGTCATCGGAACCCTGTAATTGTCGTCACTTTTGGGCCTCTGAAGCTTGAACATGCAGGAAGTATCAGGCGGGAGCCTCGTCTGTGAGTGAATTGCGAGGAAATCTCAGGCGGGAGCCCCCTCCCTATGGGGCCCGCAGATCATGTTACGAAACCGAGCGGGTCATCGGAACCTTGTAACCGTCGTCACTTTTGGGCTCTTGAGGCTTGAAAATGGAGGAAGTATCAGGCGGGAGCCTCGTCTGTGAGTGAATTGCGAGGAAGTCTCAGGCTGGAGCCCCCTCCTTATGTGGCCCGCCGATCATGTTATTAATCCGAGCGGGTCATCGGAAACCTGTAACTGTCGCCACCTTGGGGCTCTTGAGGCTTGAATATGCAGGAAGTATCAGGCGGGAACCTCGTCTGTGAGTGAATTGCGAGGAAGTCTCAGGCGGGAGCGCCCTCCCTATGGGGCCCGCAGATCATGTTATTAATCCGAGCGGGTCATCGGAACCTTGTAACTGTCGTCACTTTTGGGCCTCTGAGGCTTGAATATGCAGGAAGTATCAGGCGGGAGCCTCGTCTGTGAGTGAATTGCGAGGAAGTCTCAGGCGGGAACCCCCTCCTTATGGGGCCCGCAGATCATATTATTAATCCGAGCGGGTCATCGGAACCTTGTAACTGTCGTCACTTTTGGGCTCTTCAGGTTTGAAAATGGAGGAAGTATCAGGCGGGAGCCTCGTCTGTGAGTGAATTGCGAGGACGTCTCAGGCTGGAGCGCCCTCCTTATGGGGCCCGCCGATCATGTAATTAATCCGAGCGGGTCATCGGAACCTTGTAACCGTCGTCACTTTTGGGCCCCTGAGGCTTGAATATGAAAGAATTCTCGAGCGGGGGCTTCGTCTGTGAGTGAATTGCGAGGAAGTCTCAGGCGGGAGCCCCCTCCCTATGGGGTACGCACTTCACGTTCGAACCCGAGCGGGTCATCCGAGCGAGCTTTTTGGGCTCCTCAGCTCCTGCAGCCTGAACACGGGGAAAGTATCAAGGGGGAGCTTTGTCCGCGGGCGGTGCGGGTAGCCCCGTCAGAGGACCGTCTCCTGTCGTCACTTGGAGGTCTGAGGGCGGATTTTAGAACTCGCTCCTGCGGCCTGAATACCGGGGAGTTGCCAAGCGGGAGTCTCGCCTGTCTGAACTGGTCGCGGGCAAAATTGTTGTTGTCATGGGCCTGCGTGCCCGAAAGGGCGATTGAGAAGTCCGGGTAGCATCGTCCGAGCTGGTCGTCGGCAAACTTGTTGTAGTCATGCGACAGCGTGGAGGTCCGAGTCCGAGAGGCTCCGCCGCCACACGGCCGCGGCGTCCGACAGGGCGACGGAGGAGCTGACGATGACGACGACGAGACAGCGGCCGGGCGCAGGGGTAGCCCCTTGCGTCCGGGTCGGGGGTGGTAACACATCCTCGGCCGAATCGGGGGCAGGGGTAACCCCTTGTCTCCGGGCCGCCGGTGGTAACCCATCGGCGGCCGAATCGGGCGCAGGGGTAGCCCCGTGCGTCCGGGCCGGGGGTGGTAAGGCCCAAGCCGACGACGGCGAGGCCGAAGCGCGGGCGAGGAGCTTGCTCATGTTCAGGCCCAGCGAGCAGGAGCTCACGTGGCAAAGCTCGGGGGCGCACACTGTGCGCCGCTCGGGGTTCACCCTGACGCATGCGTCCTACCTGACCTCCACGCTGTCGCAGGGCCAGACGCTGCGCAAGGGCGTCACCATCGACTGCGCCAGGGATGAGGACGCTGGCCGCACGGGCATGTCGGACGAGATGTGGTGGCTGCACCTCTACGTCATGTTCTCCCGCGCCACGTGCATGCGGAACATGCTGATCCTGCGGCCGCCCGCGCGAGAGTTCCTGGAGCGCGGGCCGCCGGCGTCACTGCGGAAGGCGTTCCAGGAGTTCGACAAGAGAGCGGTGGATCCCAGGGCTGAGGCGGAGCAGCTCGCGGCAGAGCTGGGCTTCGTGCTGCCGCCCGCCTGAGCGCCGCGGCGCGCACCTAGAGGCCCGCGGGGTTGTCCCAACGGCTGGCTCCCGCGCCCCTGCGGCCTGCGAGGTTGCCCCAACGGCCTGGCCCGAAGGGTTGCCCCGACGGCTTCGCGATCTAGCCGTCGGCAAACGCGCGCGCGCTGGCCGACGCGGCGACGGCGCCGAGGAAAATCGAGTTGCTTGCCACGACCAGGGGGAACGGGAGGTGCACATGGAAAAGAAGCAGGAGGATGAGGAGGGAAAGGGGCATGGGGGAGGGCGACGACGAGGAGGAGGTGGCGCGAGAGGAGGAGGAGGAGGAGGAGGAGGAGGAGGAGGAGGAGGAGAAGTAGGAAGAGGAATAGAATGAGGAAGAGAGGGCAGTGCAGAGGGCGAGAGGAGAGGGTGCCCGCCAGGGGGAGGAGGAAAGGGCAAAGGGTAAGCTACACATATTCTCATGCGGGGTCCTACCGTCGGAGTAATTGAAAAATTTCGCCCTAAACCCGCCTGTAGGAAGACGTGCCCGACCTAAACCTTGGCCGCTGCACCGGAAGCCAGAGTGGCTGCCCGGGTGCTTGCGGCAAGTACGCCAGCGCGCCAGCGAAGCGCCCTGAGCAGCGACCCTTCGAGTGCCGCCCAGAAGGCCGTCACATGTGACACTGACGGGCTGTCGTGCAGCCTGATTGGGCCGTCTTGGGGCTGTCGTGGGTTCGGGTCGAGCAGTCTTGAGGGTTCTATCAGGGGCCGTCTTGTGCCATTTTTGGGTCCTCTTGGGCCGTCTTGTGGGTCTCTTGGCCTTCTGGTGGCATCTTGGAGCCGTCGTGCAGCCGTGCCTTGGAGCACTTCTGGGAGGTCCACGGGCCCTTTTGGGTCGTCTTGGGTCCTTCCGGAGACCCTCTTGGATTGGCGCCTTCTTGGGGTCGTTCCAGGCCGTCTAAGTGCCCTCTTGGGACTCTCAGCGGGCGCATGTCAGTATTCGAGGACCAGAAGTGGACAGCTCTTTGGCAGAAAAGAGTGTGGAAAACAAAGAACATTGGAACACTGGAGGCAAATCGTGATCTTGTGGTCTCGCGGGCCTCCTGGAGAGCATCTTGGGGGGGGTCCAGGCTTGGGCGTCTTTGGAGGTCTGACAGAGCTCATCGGGTTAGGGGATTCTGGATGCGTCTTGAAGCAGAGGGGGAGGAGGAGGAGGAGGAGGAGGAGGAGGAGGAGGAGGAGGAGGAGGAGGAGGAGGAGGAGGAGGAGGGGGAGGGGGATGCTGGGCCCTCCTGGCGGCCGTGGGTGGCTTTCGTGGGCCGCCTCGGAGGCCCTGGCAAGGCTCCGGAGCGCCCAGAGAGAAGGGCGGCGGGCAGCTTGGGGCGCCTCGGGGGAGGTCCTCCTCGTCTTGCTCCTGCTCCCCTTCCTCCTCCTCGTCTTCCTCTTTCCCGTCCTCCTTCCTCCTTCATTCCTTCCTCCTCCTCCTCCTCCTCCTCCTCCTCCTCCTCCTCCTCCTCCTCCTCCATCTCCTCTCGGCCGGGTATTGCGAAACGAGTGTAGGGGGGGGAGGGGGGCCTGGCATCGCTAGGACGTTTGCATTTCTTCTCGGCGAGGGCCATCGGGGAGCGCCCGCAACCGACAGAGGCACGGGGAACGGACGTTCGAGCGACAGCAAGGGGGGAGGCCCGCAACAAACCACGGGGCTGAGCTCAAGTCGAGCATGGCCCTATACACGGGGAATCTTCGCGCTCTTCTGATCATTTCCAAACCATCCTGTGGTGTTTGGGTCTTCGTTTTGAAGAGACGGCGCCCCGCGTTCCTCCTCGCGCCTCCTTTCTCCCCATTCTCCCTCCTCCCTCCCTTGCCTCTGCCTTCCGCAAGTCTCTGTTTCGGCACACCCCCTACACGTTCCGTGGCCCCGTGTGGAGCACCACCGAAGGCCCCAGTGGCATAGTTCGCATGGCGACCCCGCCCCACTTCGGCGCACCCCTCACACGTTTCGTGGCCCCATAGGGAGCTCCACCGAAGGCCCCAGTGGCAAAGTTCGCATGGCGGACCCGCCCAATGTCGGCGCCCCTCACACGTTTCGTGGCTCCATGGGGAGCTCCACCGAAGGCCCCAGTGGCAAAGTTCGCATGGAGGCGCCCATTTCGGCGCACCCCTCACACGTTTCGTGTCCCAATGGGGGGCTCCACCGAAGGCTCCAGTGGCAAAGTTCGCATGGCGGCCCCGCCCCATTTCGGCGCAACTCTCAGTCTCGTGGCCCCATGGGAAACTCCACCGAAGGCCCCAGTGACAAAGTTCGCATGGCGGCGCCCATTTCGGCGCACCCCTCACACGTTTTGTGTCCCAATGGGCAGCTCCACTGAAGGCCCCAGCGGCAGGGTTCGCATGGCGCCAATGCAACCATGTCGGCACACCCCTCACACGTCTCGTGGCCCCACAGGGAGCACCACCGAAGGCTCAAGTGGCAGGGTTTGTATGGCGCCACCGCGCAAATTTCGGCACACCCCTCACACGCTTCGTGGCCCCACACGAAAATCCACCGAAGACCCCATTGGCAAGGTTCACATGGTGCCACCGCGCCCATTTCGGCACACCACTCACGCGTTTCGTGGCCCCACAGGGAGCTCCACCGAAGGCGGGGCTCACAACTGCGGCACTCAATTGCATGTGTTTGGGTCCGTCACCAGGATAATGTTGATAAGTATGTTGATTATGTGTTATGTTTCTTCGCAAATCCGCCTGTAGGAGGACACGCCCGACCTACAGTGGAGGCCCATGCCAAGAGAAACCCTACTTGCCCCCCGGCTGGCCTGGGTTTCTTGGGTCCCAATGGTTTTGCGGCGGGGTGAGCGTGATGCTCCCGCACCAGAAAATCAGTGGAGGTGCTGGGGTCCGGGGGCCGGGTGTCTTGTGGCAGGCTTCTCGCGGTCGGGCCCCCGCTGCAGGAGGACGTGCCCGACCTCAGGCTGCGCCGCGCCGCGCCGCGCCGCCTGCCAGGAGCGCATGGCCAAGGTCATGCGCCTCTTCCGCGAGAAGTACCCGGGCGCCGCCGCCGCCGCTGTGCTGCTTCTGCCTGCCACTGCCCTCTTCGCCGGCCTCTGCTCTCCGACGGCAGGCCCGGATCGGAGCCCATCGACATCGAATCGAGCCGGAGGTTACCAGCCTCGAACGTATCCCTATCCCTAAAATTAACACGCCAAAAGGCGATGACAATCTTAGGGATTCGCCCTCAAAAAAGAAGGGGATCCCTAAGATTGGCATCGTGATGAGGAGGTGCCCAGCATAGGGATAGGGATATGTTCCAGGCTGGTAAGGAGGGGTCTGCACGAGCCCTGCGTGCCGGCTGCACTGCGAGCTGCCCAGAGGAGCGAGAAGGTGGTTCCCCTGGCGCGCGGAGCGCATCAGGGTTAGGTCGGGCACGTCCTACAGGCGGAGCTTAGAAGAGAAACGCAGAATTGTCAAAACAAACAAAAACTATGTTTTGACAAGTGTTGCAAATTGTTGTTACCTAACAGCGAAGACTGATAGGCTTCTAGTGGTGTCAAAAGTGAGCATCTGATGACTCAGAAGGGAGGTCTGGGCGGCATCCGGACAGCGAGGGCCGGGCTCAGGGCCGGGCTCGTTTTAAGCAAACAGTCACACACTTCGTGCTCTTCGACCTCCCAGAACTCCATTCCCGGGCCACATTTTGAATGCCCGGAGCCAACTGTAGGCCACTTCGTGCTCTTCGATTTCCCAGAACTCCATTCCCGGGCCACATTTTGGATGCCCGGAGCGAACTGTAGGCCACCTCGTGCTCTTCGACTTCCCAGAACTCCATTCCCGGGCCACATTTTGGATGCCCGGAGCCAACTGTGGGTCACTTCGTGTTCTCTGTGTTCCCAGAACACCACTCCTGCACCATATTTTGATTGCCCGGAGCCAACTGTGGGCCACTTCGTGATCTTCGTGTTTCCAGAACACCAGTCCTGTGCCATATTTCGAGTGCCCGAGCTGAGGCAATCTGAGGCCGAGGCAGGCTGAGGCCGAGGCAGGCTGAGGCTGAGGCTGAGGCACGCCGAGGCAGGCTGAGGCTGAGGCTGAGGCAGGCTGAGGCTGAGGCAGGCTGAGGTTGAGACAGGCTGAGGCTGAGGCTGAGGCAGGCTGAGGCTGAGGCTGAGGCTGACGCAGGCTGAGGCTGAGGCCGGCTGAGGCTGAGGCTGAGGCCGAGGCAGGCTGAGGCTGAGGCCGAGGCAAGCCGAGGCAGGCTGAGGCTGAGGTTGAGGCTGATGCTGAGGCAGGCTGAGGCTGAGGCTGAGGCTGAGGCTGAGGCAGGCTGAGGCTGAGGCAGGCTGAGGCTGAGGCCGAGGCAGGTTCAGGCCGAGACAGGCTGAGGCTGAGACTGAGGCTGAGGCTGAGGATGAGGCCGAGGCAGGCCGAAGCTGAGACAAGGTGAAGCTGAATGGGGGGGGGGAAGGGGAGGGGGAGGGGAGGCTGAGGCAGGCTGAGGCCGAGGCAGGCTGAGGCCGAGGCAGGCTGAGGCTGAGGCGGAGGCAGGCCTGAGGCTGAGGCTGAGGCTGAGGCTGAGGCTGAGGCTGAGGCTGAGGCTGAGGCAGGCTGAGGCTGAGGCTGACGCAGGCTGAGGCCGAGACAGGCTGAGGCTGAGGCTGAGGCAGGCTGAGGCTGAGGCCGAGGCAGGCTGAGGCTGAGGCTGAGGCAAGCCGAGGCAGGCTGAGGCTGAAGCTGAAACTGAGGCAGGCGGAGGCATCCGTAGGAATCCGTAGGAATCCATAGGAATCCTTAGGAATCCTCAGGAATCCGCCGGCATCCTTAGGAATCCGTAGGCATAGTTAAACATCCTCAGGAATCCTTAGGATTATATTGGATCCTAAGGCCGTTGCCGCTGCGACTGTCATTGCGAATGCGACTGCGACTGCGAGAACAGCAGAATTCTACAACTGGATTCTCACCTGAATCTTAAGGGGGATGCTTCCAGATATGCTTATACACATCGCTGTTAGGTTGCTTTGCTGGGATAATATGTTTTGGGGCTATGTTTTATCTGTCCGAGGTCGTTTTCACTAAACCACGTTTTACTCAAGGGTGTTTTGTCCATCCCCGAGGCCCTGCCTCTCGCGCAGGGGATCGACCACAGAAGTGGTCTGCCCCCCCCCCAGATTTGATTGTCTCGCCGAGCCTGCGCAAAGTGCGCGGGGCGTTCCAAGAAGGGTCTTGCCTTCGAGGATTGCGGGAGCAGTCATCTCTTCCTCGGCGGAGAGTGGCGGAAGTAAGAAGCAACACGCTTCCCACGGGATGCAAACGTCTTTGGGGTTCAGGGCTTCCGAACTCGCGCCCAGGTAGAACGCCCGTAGATCCACGGATTTTCAGGGCCTCGATGGAAAAAACAAGCTTGCTCATTGTCGATTCGCGTCCTCTCCTCTGCCCTCCTTCCCCTCTCCAAAATATTTGTGCGGAAAAAAAAAAAAAGAAAAATGGGGGGGGGGAACAAAAAAAAAAAAAAAAAGCTTGGGGTCCATCCATTCTGCAGCCGCTCCCCTGCGCGAGTCTTGCCGTTGTTGTCGTCATCCGTATTCCCCCGGCGTGGCACACCCGCCAGCGGCCGAGCCCGGCTTCGGCGTCTCACAGCTCCGGGACGCGCCGGTCATTGCCGCCCTCTGCCGCGTCGGCGGCCCTCACAGGTCTGGACGGTTTCTCCGAAGGGCTCAGGCGACCCGTCCTCCTCCTCCTCCTCCTCCCTCCTCCTCCTCCTCCTCCTCCTCCTCCTTCCTCCTCCTCCTCTTCCTCCTCCTCCTCCTTTCCCTCCTCCATTTCCTCCTCCCTCCTCCTCCTCGTCCTCCTTCTCCATTTCCTCCTCCCCCTCCCCCTCCTCCACCTCCTCCTCCTCCATTTCCTTGTGAATAAGTTCTCCCTGTCGCACACAGAAGCCAGTTTTCAAGGCGGGCCCGCCGTTTCGCCTGAGATTTGCTCACCACTTATGACTCTGAAGCTTAAAAATGGCAACAGCTTCACAGATGGAGGGCGGGACGTTTTCAACATGTGGTTCTCGCCGTAGCGCCGCGCACATTCGTTTTAAAAAAGTGCAAGAGATTCACGGATTGAGTGCGGGTGGTTTTCAACATGTAGTTATTGCCTTAGCGCCGCGCACATTTGTTTTAAACATTGCAAGAGTTCAATAATTGAAGGCGGCTCTTTTCCAAAATGTGGCTCTCGCGTTAGCGCCGCGTACATTCGTTTTCAAAAATTGCAAGAGCTTCAAGGATTGAGGGCGGGTGGTTTGCAACATGTGGCTCGCGCGTTAGCGCCGCGCACATTCGCTTCAACAATTTGCAAGACGAGCTTCAAGGATTGAGGGCGGCTCCTTTTCAAAATGTGGCTCTCGCGTTAGCCCCGCGCACACTAGTTACAGATGTGTGTATATACATAGATGCAAGAGTTGCACGGATCGAGGGCGGTTCTTGTTCAAGATGTGGTTCTCGCCTTAGCACCGCGTACATTCGTTTTAGAATGTCGCAAGAGTTTCACGGACTGCAATGATCAACGTACCAGAAATGGTGTTAGGGAAGGATTCAGGATTATGCGGGTGCAACTGTTATGTTGATTCGTGGTGTTGAAGTCTCCCCCCCAAAAAAAGCGTTCTGGCACGATTCCAGGTCGTCAGGACGCAGCAATCAGGTTCAGCGTGGAAATCCCGGGAACAATGTTTCGGCATGCTAAAAGGTCTTCAAACAGTTGTCTTCCAACGAGGCAGTTCCCTCAGTGGAGATAGACTGGTGTAGGGGCATATGAAGAGGGAGCTTGGAGGGAGGGTTAATTCCAGCATCGCTGGTAATTCTTGGGTTTACAGTGGTCCTCCTCCTCCTCCTCCTCCTCCTCTTCCTCCTCCTCCTCCTGCTCGGGTCGCCTACAGGGCCCCGGGAGAAACCGTGCACACGTGTCACAAAGTCGAGGGAGCGGGTGCCGAAGTGCGCCTGGGCTCACCGGGGCATGAGGGTGCACGCCCAGCTTGTATGGCCGCTGCTCCGGGAGGGGAGCGGGCAGCACGGATCAGTTATGTGCTGTTTCCAAACCTCGCAGGGCGGGCCGTTTCCTCTTGAGGATCTGACCCGGATCTTCTCAATAGGCACACATGCGTTGGATTCGGTGAAGCTCCTCCGCCGCCTCCCCCCCCGACGCGATGGTGCTCAGAGTGGCGATGTCTGGGAAGTACCTCTGCGTCAGCCTGCGGCTGGCCATGCCATCGCGGTAGTGTTCATGCGGGTAGCGGTGGTGGTTATGCTCTCTGGCCCGGCGCGGTCGCGCTGGACACGGCGACGTTGGCACCACCTAAAGAGAGTTACTCAGCATGCGCGTCGGCCACGCGAGGGCGACGCGCACACTTGGAAATCCCATGGCATAGGCTCCGTGGTAGGCGCGTTCTGGCCATGCCGCTCGGGAAACGATCTATATATATATATATTATATATATATATATACTATAAGACCTTGTGCTATCGAATGGCCTTCGGAACATCCCGCCGCCGTGCCTGGGTTGTGGGTCAGAGTTCTCAGGGATGCTTCTTCGGGTCGCTTCGAAGCGCTCTCGGGGGCCTTTTCCCGCGCATAGGCGCCACAGACACGGAAACCCAACGAGCGTTCTTTGGTCGACAGTCGTGCCACCTACTGGACTGGCAGCGCGGTGCTCTCAAGACGGCGACACGAAGCACTTTCGCAAGTGAGCTGATGGCCGCGACTACAGTCAAGCCGCATAGTAAGGATGGGCAACCTTCCCAAGGGTACCCTTGCATCCTTGCCTCACGGTCCATCCTTGGCTACTTTCGTTGGCCGCGCCCCGCTCGAAAAGCTTCGAAATGGGCGTCGAAGGCCCTTGCATCCTTATCGCGCATCCTTACTGTACTAGTGACCTGTCAGCTCTCGAGTGTAGTATACGTACTTATCACGTGCAAGTGAATATTTCACGAAGTGGTCCTCTATGCTGCCTAATTTAAAATAATAGCCTCACTATACTGGTTGACAGTAGCTCGACTGATAACGGCCCCGCTCCAGCCACTACACTCCACGAGGTACTCGCGGCCCCGCGCGATCCCGCGGCCACGCGTCGCCAGCGAGATGGCCAGCAGCCGCTCGCACTGGGAATAGACCTGGATTCCACGGTCGCGGTCACAGCCGCCACGGCCACCAGACCAAAACACCCAGCACAACATTCGTTGTTACCGCACGTGCTTTGGCTAATTACGCGATCTTCTGTGCCCGGGTCAATTGTGGGCCTTGAGATGGGAAGATGCACGGGACATGGCAGCAGATGGGCTCACCTGCTTTTCGTGAACGTAGTTGGTTGCTTTCGCCAGCGGACACACACACACACACACACACTTGTTTTTTGCGTCGGCGCCTGGGCAGAGGGTGACGCTCCGGTACTCGGGCATCAGGGGGGCGCACTAGATGCGAATTGGGCCGCCATGCACGTGGGAGGAGGAGGATGAGACCCCGGCGCGACGGGAAGAGGGGATGCAGAGCCCACTCTGGCAAGTCACCGGCTGCGGCGGGAGGAGCGCCGAGGGGGGGGGGGAACCAGCCGCGGCGCCGGGCAGCAGCTGGGGGAGGGGGCGGCAGCCCAGCGGCGGCTGGGCACAGCCAGATGGGGGAGCAGCACATGTGATGCGGTTACCACACCAATGGGGGAGCCGGCAGAGCAGGCGGACCCAGGGGTGGGCCGAAGCGCCGAGACCCGGAGGCCTACGAGGCGCGGCGGGAGGCGAACAGGGCGGAGCGCAGGCTGCTGCGAGAGCGCTGCACTAGCGCGGCAAACGCAGGCCGGCGTAAAGGCGATGGACAAAGGACGACGAGGCGGAGCCACGCCACCTGGGGGAGCGGCGTGGAGCTGGGAGTGCCAGCGCGTGAGCGGGCGAGCGGAACCCGGCGGCGGCCGGGCACAGCCAGATGGGGGAGCAGCACATGCGATGCGGTCGCCACGCCGATGGGGGAGCCAGCAGAGTTCACACACACACACACACACACACACACACGCACGCGCGCACGCTCGCACGCACGCACGCACGCCCCCCCACACACACACACACACACACACACACACACACACACACACACACACACACACACACACACACACACACACACGCACACACACACACACGCACACCAGTCACCGTCACCCCCCTCAACGCGGCTTCCAAACTCATATCGTTTTCAGGCCATGAGCGCTTGCCGGCGCCCTTGGACAATTAGCGAACAGCGATCAGGACCGCGTTGTGTTCCATCTCCCCAAACCAAACATCTTTATGAATCATTGTCGTGTTCGGGGGGTTCGTCGTCATGTACGTCGCGGTGGGGAACCATGCTGCAGCGCGACGCTCCAGGTGTAGTGGTTGATACGTTCTGGCGCAGATGCACGCAGAGAGTGCAGGCATGCGTGGGCACGGGGAGGATGACACCAGTTGAGACAGCCAGAGAAAGGAGCAGCTGGGTCTGCTGCCATTCCTCCAGCAGCTCGCGCGCCGGCCGGCCCCGGCGCCCGGAGCCCCACCGCGAGGCGCAATGCACCGGCGGGCCCACGCGCGCGATCCCGACACGTGCCGCCGTGCGCCGGCGGCCACCCGCCTGCCGCGTGCGCCGGCCACGCGCCGAGGTAGGAGGAGCCTCCCGGGCCTCTGACGCCGCCGCCGCGGCAGTCGAGGAGGACGCCCACAGCATCCCCAACGGAAGTGCTCTCATCATAGTCGGCACCCGATGCGTCCCGGGACCGCCTCGAGCACGGCGAGCGTGAGCGGTCGGACAGGTCTCCGCCAAGTCACCCGAAGCACCGCCCCCACGCCCAGCGAGGCCACCGGTCAGGCCGCACACGATGCCGCCGCCGTCACCACGGGCGCGGCGAGGGCTGGAGACAAGACTGCACGACCAGCAAGAAGCAGGGCGTCCGCGGGCTCGTGCCCTTCGGTCACGCAGTCGCCCGCCGTGTCGCACGCGCAGTCGCCGACGTTCGCCCGCCGTGCCCGGCCCTGGGCGCACTCGCCTGCATCCGGCCACCGAGCACAGAGCGCAGCCTGCTGCGCGGCCCGTGGCACCCACTCCGCCAGAGGTGCCACCTGCGGGTCGCTGGAGGGGCCCAGGGAGGAGCGGCACGCTCTCTGGCACCCCTGTCACCATTCGGCGAGGCAGACCATCACTGAGCGCGTTCCACTGCTCGCACAGTGCCTGGTCGCAAACGTCAGAAAGAAAAAACAGACAACCAAAAGAACATGGGTTCATCGATGTAAGGGAGCACAGATCCCCTATGGCGGATATTGGCCACTTGCGAGTAGCTACTTTGCGAGTAGTGGAATGCGCTTGTCGAGATCAGGCAGCGCACTCCCTCTTCAGGGACTGGCACATCAGCGACGCCGCCACGCGGACGGCGGTATGTGAGGTCATGGAGCCAGTGATGCGCGCAGCCTTCACCAGCGAGCATCGCTGCACAGCGGGCTGGTTGACCGACGGAGAGCCGACCTTCGACAATGAACCCATCTCGGTCAGCACGACAGCGTTCAGCGCGAACCTGTTCAAGGCTTGAGTTTCGTGGACCCGTCAGGAAGGATCTGAATGCCGCTGGCATTGGCAGCTAGCCGACCAGGGCAGCCGGCCGGGCCACGGCCGAGGCCCGCCTCTCCTCTCTCCGTGGACGAAGCTGCCGGGGGGCTGCCCACCAGCAGCAGCGGCCTTCCGAAGCCTGCTCCAGGTCGAGGTCGGCCTCCCGCAGCGGACGTGTGCCAGGGTCGCCGCGCTCCCCTCCGCCGAGGGATGAGCGCAGGCAAAGCACCCCGCCGCGTCGTGCTCCGCGGTCCCCGCAGCAGCAAAAGCACGGGCGCCGGGACAGGGAAATGGAGTACGGCAGCGACGAGGACTACGCCACCAGGTGGAAGTCGTCCTTACCACCGTCGCCACCGGTTTGGCCGCGCACAGGCAGTCGGTCCCCCAGAGGCTCGCGTGTCGTCGCGGCCCAGTTGTCGGAAAACAGGGGCAAAAGCGAAGACAACAACACAAAGGTCAAGGAGAAGGTGCGTCGTGGAGGCCAGAGAGCCAAGCGTCCGCGCGCGACCGCATCATCGCGTGCAGCAGCCGACGCTGGCGAGAACGACAAGCCATCAGATGGCAGCGTCACCCCCCGCACGCCCAGCGAGGAGGTGCAGATGCGCGGCCGCGGCAGCTCCCGCCATCAGGAGAGCGACCGAGGCGGTGAGTTCGAGGCGATCGTGCAAAAAGGACGCACGTCCTTCATGGTCATCCACCCTCATTCATTTGCTCCATGCATACCTGGTTACATGATAGGCTTTCAGACATAATGTCTGCGTGTCAGGAGTCACTGCCGTAAGCCGATGCGACCTGGCAGAACCCACGCCACCTCTACCCGTGTGAGTTCCCGACACCTGGTGAGCCTGCCTTCCGTCGCGCCGCGCCGCCAGGACAGGCAGCGAGAGGATGTCATTGTTCAGTTGTGAACGTGCTTCGGGTTGGACAGTTGTGGTTCCCCCCTCTCTGTGCCCGCGTCTCTTCCAGAGCTGTTCGATCGTTCGCACAGTTCCGAATCACATAGGATGATATGCCGCCGTTTGGCTCAAGCGCCGGCGCGTAAAAACAGTAAACATGAGGCCCGCAGTTATACATTGTATTGCTGCCTTGCTTTCTGTCGTCAAGTTTCCAAGCCGCAGCTATAGTTGTCCTGCTTCTCCTCTTCGTCTTCCTCCTTGTCCTCCCCTAAACCATCGACCCCTGGACCTCTTCGGGGCTGTTTTGCGACCAGAACCTCGTGGGGCATTTGGCCTTGGAGGTTCGAAACCTACGAAGCGTGGCCTGACATTCCGAATTCGAGCCTCGAGTTTCGAATCTACAGTTGGGGCGCTGAAGAAGGAACCCTTTTCGTTGGGGAGGGGCTCCGTGTTCCTTCATTGTTTCGCAGCTTGCCTTAGGTTTTCCTTATGTTTTCGATATGAAAGCGAAGTTTAACTAATGGAAAAAAGGGGCCTCGTTCCTTAGTTATCTTTCCTTAGGTCAACGCCCCGACTGTACTCTCTTTCCTCCTCCCCCCCCCCGTCATCCCGTCGCCCGTGCCGCGCCGGGCCAGGCCTCCCGGCCTGCGAGGAGCTCCCGCCCCCGCCCTGCGACTTCGACGGGTGGTACACGGACTCCACGGGCGTCAAGGACGCGCCCAGAAAGGGGGAGGCGAGGGACGGGGAGGCGGGGGAGGAGGAGGAGAAGGGGAAAGAGGAGGAGGGGAAACAGGAGGAGGAGGAGGAGGAGGAGGAGGAGAAGGACGATGACCAGCAGATGGACCAGGGGGAGAATGAGGCGGAGCATGGGAGGCTTCTGCGAACTCCTGGGTCAGGGACCTGGCATTGAAGCTGCACGCAGCAAAGCGGCATCAAGAGTGGGAGGAAGAGGAGGACGAATTGGAGCAGTGAAAGGCGCAAACAGGAGTGGTTGAATCGAGGGCGACAATTGATGTGCAGATCCTTTCGTGGCAAAGCCAGGAGGGCGTACCCCCGTTGCTGAGCTCAGGATGTGTTTGGCCAGGACCAGTGTCGGGGTAAAGTTTGCGTCCGAATCAGCCGCACTAGGAGGAGGTTGAGTCTGAGAAGGGTTCCAGCGTGCATAGTGAAAAGTCGTGGGCCACCATGTTCTGGCACGTTGCCCGATGATCTGAGTTTGCTGGAACCCGTTTTGTATCAAGGGAGGAAAAACAACCCGGACCGGACAATGGGCGTTTACGAAACGGCCCTGGGCGTGTACGAAACAGCCTTGCCCTGTTCGATCCCTTCTTGGGGCGCGTTTACTAAACGAGTTCGCGTGTCGGGGTGGTTCTTATGGAGGTGGATCGTTTGACTTCTATTGCTTGTGAACACAAAACCATTGAGGCGAGTAGAGTTGTGGGTTCGGGAGTCGGCCTGGTCGTCAGGCCGCTCCTCGTGCCAAGGTCGGGGAACCGATTTTGCTCGTGGCCGAAGCTCGCCGTGGCCAGAAGCGCTCCCGCGTTCCTCTCTCGGTGTGCCGTGCGTCGGCGGCGAGGCCAAAGGGGGAACGCGACGGGGGGGCGGGTCGGCCTTCGCGCCGCCTCAGAAGTCTTCTGCTCTTCCTCCTCCGCCTCCTCCTCCTCCTCCTCCTCCCCCTCCCCCTTTTCCTCCTCCTCCTCCTCCTCCTCCTCCTCCTCCTCCTCCTCCTCCTCCTCCTCCTCCTCCTCCTCCTCTCCCCCCCTTCTTCCTCCTTCTTCCTCCTCCTCCTCCTCCTCCTCCTCCTCCTCCTCCTGGGGCTTACTCCTGGGCAAATCCAGTCTATGAGAGCTCAAGCGGCCATGTGCAGTGGTAGATGGAACCCTGGGGCCTGCACTACCACCGTTCTGGGGCTCATCAGTCCTGCCAAGGATGACCCCCAGTTTAGGCTTCGCTATGAGCAGCTTGTGAGTTTCTACGCTGTTTGGCAGGACCTTGCGCACACAAAAAGAATGGAGGTTTCGCGGTGCTGGGACATTGTAGTTGCGAACTTCACCAAGACCAAACATCGGTATCAATGTGTGCGCGGTCCATTGGCGGCTACAGTTGCGGTGCTCCTTGACCTCAATGTGGTACCGCGTAGCCCAGCATATTGGATTTTTCCCAATGGAATGCACGTTCGCTCCAGCGACCAGGCTTTCCCCCACACCCTCTGGAGCACGCTCATGGAGGTGTGCGGGGACATGTCGTGGAGCGGGGCTGCAAAACACTATGAAGGATCTGGTTTAGGAGGAGGAGTTGATGTCACTGCCCCTCGGATGTTTTTTTGCGGAAACTTGAAAGAGAAGGCTCTTTTGAAGCCGCTGGAATGATCAGAAACGTTCTGACTGCGGGTTTTTGGACTGAGGACCGACTTGCTAAGGCGGGCTACGAGTCCTCTACAAATGGCAAGTGCCCTAGGTGCGGCCTCGAGGCCGAAACTGCTGCCCACCGATTTTGGTCCTGCAGATGTAATGATGATATCCCTGACAGCGCGATCGACCGATCGAATGAGTTTAAGGCTGAAGCTCTGAGTTCTCCTGAAGCCTCCTGTTTCTGGATGCGAGGGCTCCCGCCCTTGTCCGCCAGTGTTGGCCACCTCCCCGAGCCCACGGAGCTCTCCTGGGATTGGGGAAAGTTGAGTGCGGGGGGCCGTGTGGATGGGGGTGTCTGGGGAATTGACGGCAGCGGTGGTAAGTATCATAAAGACTGGCGACTAAGGCGATGTGGATTGGCGATCGTCCACCAAGGTCCTGCAGGCCTCTTTGACGGCGTAGCCAGCGGAACACTGTCAACTAAGGTGCAGTCTGCTGGTCGTGCCGAATTATTTGCACTTGTACAGCTGTTTATGCGCTCAACTGGCAATGTCAGAGTATATTCAGACAATATGGCCGTCGTGAAAGGTGTGCGTCGCCCCCTAAGTATGAAGGCTAAATCGTCTATGCTTGACCGTTGGAAGATATACCATGAGGTCCTGGGGGCTCGGGGCGGTACGGTTGATGTTCGTTGGACCAAAGGTCACCCCACCCAGGCTCAGGCGTTTCACATGGTTTTGAGTGACACTGAGATCTACCTCAATGAAGCTGCTGATTTTTTTGCGGGTAAGGCTGCTGGTGCTGGCCAGGTGACAGAAAATGCGGCCCGACGGACCCTCCAGGCCGATGAGCGGGCATTCAAGGTTTGGGGCCGCCTTCTGTCTGTCCAGAGAGAGGTGTTATTTTGCTCTGATCGTGAGAAAGTGCGACGAATCGGACGCACCCGCGCTTCTGTGAGGTCTCTGGGTGAACGCCTTTGCAGACTCCGTGGCTCGGGTCATGACTGTGTGGTGCGTTCCTCGTCCTTTAAGTGTCGTTGGTGCGCCCGCTCGTTCGCACGTCGAGGCCCCCTCTGTGAATTTTGGCTTTGTATTTGCAAACCCCGTGCAGAGATAAATCAGCGAATTCACGCCCTCCCTGCTAGGAGTGTACCTGCCCCTCCTGGTAGGGGGCCCTCACCTCCTCCTGATGATCTTGGGCCGTTGGAGGCGGGAGTGGGCGGGGGAACGGATCATCCTGTGGCCGAGCTTTGCCATGCCTCGCATCAGCTCGCCACTCTCAGAGGAGCGTTGTTTTGCCAGGTCTGCGGGTGCCACTGCGTGGAGAACCCGAGGAACCTCAGGGTGGAATGTATGCCACCCACCCGCGCTGGCCACGAAGTGCTCAGCCGCCTGAAGAAGGGATTGCCTCCTCAGTCTGGAGGAAGGTTCCCTGATTTGTGATTTGGCCCAGCGCGCCCCGCCTAGCTGCAGGTCACCACGCATAGAGGTAGAATAGAATAGAATCCTCATCCTCCTCCTCCTCCTCCTCCTCCTCCTCCTCCTCCTCCTACGCCTCCTACGCCTCCTACGCCTCCTCCTCCTCCCCCTCCTCCTCCTCCTTCTCCACCACCTCCTCGTCCACCTTCGGAGAGGGGTCCGAAGACTTCTCAAAAATCTCGTTGGCTTATGACCCCCCTCTCGCGTCCCCCCTCCCCCATGGGTTTGCCGCCAGTTTTGATCGCACGATGACCGTACCACGAGCTCGTCGTGCGAGCAGCCAGCCACTCGACTGCCGCGTCCCGTGTGCGTCGGGGCATCTTGATCGCCGTCGTTTCCTAGCTGACGGGAAGGGGACTCCACAAGCGAGCATAGGGCGGGGACGGCGAGGAAGGGGGCCACGACGACGACGACGATCCTGTTCGTGGCCGAGGTTCGCCGTGGCCCGGGAAGCTCCTCCGTTCCTGTTGTTGTGCCCCTCGTGAACGCACGATGATTGCGCCGCGAGTCTGAGCAGCCTGCGCGCATACTGCGAACTCGGCGTACGGCCGCATAGCCACGCTCACGAACTTATCCTGCGATCAGCCCGACCACTCTCCTTTTGAGGCCTGTCTGCGATCAGCCCGACCGCACCGACCGCACCAAGATTCCGTCTTGCGATCAGCCCGACCGCTCGGTTGCCGCGTCCCGTAGAGTTGCACCGCGAGCCTGCGCAGCCCGTGTGCATCCTGTACCACGATTCCGTCTTGCGATCCGCCCGACCACTCGGCTGCTGCGTCCCATAGTTGGAACACACGATACTTGTACAGTTAGGTCGGGCATGTCCCTTTCTTCTACAGGTTGAATATTCAAAAAACAGAACTAACAAATCTGGGGGCGCTTGTTTAGTATTTTCGGGCACGTTGGGAGCATTGCGAAGGCACTACGGCTGGTGACGCCGACCCTGAAGACGACGAAAATGAAAACGAGCGGGGGGGGGAGGAGGGAGGAGGAGGAGTGGGGGGGAAGAGGAAGAGGAAGGGTGGAGGAGGCGGATGAAGGAGGAGGAGGGGGGAATGATGAGGAGGAGGAGCAGGAGGAGGAGGAGGAGCAGGAGGAGGAGGAGGAGGAGTGGGGGAGCAGCGAGAGGAATGCGGAGGAGGAGGGGAAGGAAAAGGAGTGGAGGAGCAGCGAGAGTGAGCGAGCAGGCGCAACCAATTCTTGAGACCTCGGCTTTCGACGGAAATGGGAGGGAGAGGGCGGGGACAAAACGTTTTCCGAAAATCAATGAACATGGGCTCTCTGGGCCTTCTTGAGAGTCCTTGTGGGGCTCTTGTGACCCGTCTGAGGGCCCCCCTTTGGCCGTCCTTAGGCGCTCTTGGACGGTCTTGTGGGGCTTGCGCCGTCTAGGGGCGCTCTTGCAGATCCGTCGCGGCGACCCCCCCATCCTCCAGCGCATCTACAGAGGGCCCCTTCTGTAAAAGCCGCAAACGGGGGATGGCATTTTGACCCGGGACCCCCTCCCAGAGCCTCCCCCCCCCCCCGGCGGGGAAGGGATCAAAGGGAAGGGTCTTCCGTTCGACTCAGTGACAACGTTGTTAATTTCGCTTGGGCTGGGTTACTTCATTTCGCATTGGCTGGCGCGTTTGAGGCCTCTCCGTAAAAGGTGCAAAAGGGGTGTGGCATTTTGACCCGGGACCCCCTCGGAGACCCCCCCGGGACCCTCGCCCTCCCCAGCGGGGAAGGGATCAAAGGGAAGGGTCTTCCCTTCGACTCAGTGACAACGTTGTTAATTTCGCTTTGGCTGGGTTACTTCACTTCGCATTGGCTGACGCGTTTGAGGCCTCTCCGTAAAAGGTGCAAAAAGGGTCTGGCATTTTGACCCGGGATCCCCCTGGAGACCC